GAGTCGTCCAGCGTGGGCCAAGCCAACTTCCTCAACGAGCTCAAGTTCGTGCGCAAGCTGCTGTCCGACTTCCCCGTGGTGTCCACAGCCACACGCGTGGCCATCGTCACCTTCTCGTCCAAGAACAACGTGGTGGCGCGCGTGGATTACATCTCCACCAGCCGGGCACACCAGCACAAGTGCGCGCTGCTCAGCCGTGAGATCCCAGCCATCACCTACCGCGGTGGTGGCACCTACACCAAGGGCGCCTTCCAGCAAGCTGCGGTAAGACCCCCACACATCCCAGGCCAGCGCCCCGGGGTTCCTCCTACCCTCAGTTGCCAGCCGCTTCTCCAGTGGGGTTCAGCCCCAGCAAGGCTTAACACGCCCAGGCGAGAGTCTCCAGCCGCACAAACAGGACCATTCTCCAGCTGTCGTTGTGAGGGTGCAGAGGGATAATGGATTTTAAATGCTTAGTGAGGTGTCAGGCTTCTTAAAGGATAGATCCCTTTGAGGGACCCTGGTAGGAAGGGACACTTAATCTCCCTCTCACATCTAAGGTATAGTTTGTGAAGACGGGCCATGCAGCGAACTGAGGACAGCCCTGAATCTTTTTCTCGTTGCAGAAAGAGCACACTTTGCTCCCAGTCTTTGGTTTGTTTATTTGTTTGTGACAGGCTCTCCTGGCCTCCAACTTACTACATGGCAGAGGTGTCCCTAAATTCTGATCCTCCTGCCTCCATCTCCCAAGCGTTGGGATGACAGCCATTGGCCACCAAGACTTTATGCTCCAGGTTTTTAATAAATGAATGTCTAGCATCTGACAAAAGTCAGTTTCACATGGTAGATCTTTATAAAAATGTATCTTTTTCCTAACTTCAAAGTAATACATAGCTGAGCATAATTTAGAACACAGAAATATTTAAGGCAATCCAGCAAGTCAGTGTTTATAGAATAAATGAAACATAAAGGAGTGTGAAACCCCAATAATCTCTTCATTCTTAAAATTCCAGTAGATATACAAGTGAATGTTGTTCAATATGTATATTCATATATTATTTCAACAAACTTGCTAGCTTAGAGTTTTGTGGCCTGCATCCTTCATCTGTTACATATGATTGAAATGCACACACTACCCTGTGGTGTGTCCATGGAGGTCTGAAAAGGAAACTGGATCCCCTGAGTTACAGGCGGTTGTAAGCTGCCATGTGGGTGCTGGTAAGGGAATTGAAGTCCTCTCTCTGCCTGAGCCAGTGTTCTTAGTCACTGTGTCATCTCTCCAGCCTCACAACAACTGAGTGGTTTGAACTAATTAATGTGTAGAGAGCACACATTCATGTCTTTTAAATAAGGAATTTGGGAAGCTTTTATTACAGGGATATTGTTTTACTCTTAGTGATTTCTATACACTCTTTATGTAGTGAGGCCAGGAACCTGTTTTGTATATGCAGCAAATATATTTTACAGTTTGTTGTATTTGAATGAATAGTTTAAACCTTCATTTGCTCAAATCTATCAAAGTTTGCTTTTAAGGTCCAAATTTGGGCAGCTGCGGAGAATGGCTCAGCACTTAAAAGCACTTGCTACTCTTGGAGAGGATCTAGGTTTATGTCTTGGCATCCAGTTAGTGGCTCACAGTCAACCTTAACTCCAGTTCCAGGGGATCCAACACCCTCTTCTGACCTCCCTAGGCATCAGACATGCATATGTTGCATATACAAACATGCAGACAAAACACTCATACACATACAAAACATAAATCTTTAAAACATTTAAATATCTTGTATTTGCTTATATTGTTATAATGACTGTCACATTGCCCAAATCAGAAATGTTTTCCCCTTAACAGTTTACTTAATCTGGAACTGGCTTAGGGGTTCCATTCAAAGACATTCATTTTTTTTTGTCCCAGCTCACTAGTAACTAATTTTTCCCAATTTAGTTGAATGTCTCTCATTTTGAAAAGATTTATTTTTATTTTATGTGCATGTATGTCTGTGTGAGGGTGCCAGATCACCTGAAACTGGAATTATGGATATTTGTTAAATGTCATTCCTAGGAATTGAACCTAAGTCCTCTGGAAGAGTAGTCAGTGCTCCAAACCACTGAGCTGTCTCTTTGGTCCCCAGTTGAATGTCTCTTTAACCACCTAGTAAATATGAATGAGTGCTTGGCCCTCTCCTGATTTAGTTGCTGTAATTTTACAGCATATTTAAATGTGAGGTAGTGAAAAAGCTCCTCTTTAGTCTGTCTTAACTTTTTCCATCAGTCTTTCCTAGGCATTATGCAATGTGCATTTTAATTTATTTTCTTGTAATTCCAGTGAAAACCAATAAGATTTTTATTTCAATACAGAAAATATTGAAGTGTTTGGGAGTTATTACATTTTTAGAATGAGCTATGCTCATTTATACTTTTTATCAATCAATAGTTGTGGCTTTTCAAGAGTCCTGTAAATACTTTTAAAAATTTAGACCTAATTATATCCAACATTATTACATATAAATTTATCCTTTGTGGCACTAACAATCAAGCTTAGGCTCTTACATAAGCTGGGTAAGTGCTTTATCACTGAGCTATATCTCCAGGTTTCTTTTTTAACTTTTTATTGTTGTGAGATGGGGTCTCTCTAAGTTGCTCAGGCTAATATTGTATTTATGATCCTCTTACCTCAGCTTCCTGAGTAGCTGCGATTCCAGGCCTGCACAGAGAGACCAATGCATCTTTTACATTTTATTTTAAACAATTATTCTTGAATTATCAAGACATTCTTAATTTTTATATCTCTATTTCTTTTTCAGGCATGTATCTTGGTTGTATCTTCCCTCATCTCTTATCCTCAGCATGCCCTAGTCCCGAACATAGACCCCATCTCACTTCATATTTATTTGTTTATTTAATATTTTATTTTATTTGGTTTCATGAGACACAGTTTCTCTGTGCAACAGTCTTGGCTGTCATTGAACTCTCTTTGTAGACAAGGCTAGCTTTGAACTCACAGAGATCTGCCTGCCTCTGTCTTCCGAGTGCTGGGACAAAAGGTGTAAGCCACCACCACCTGGCTTTTATAACCTCCAAAGTCCATCCAGTTAGTGCTGCCTTCTGCACATGTGTGTGTAGGACAAAATCTTCCTATACTGACCAAGTCATCCTTGAAGCTCTGGGAACAGGGAACTCTCCTGTCTCTGCTTCCTGTGTAGCTGGGACTACAGACAATTGCCACCATACTTAGCACTCAGTTTCTCAGTGAAGTTTCTTAGACTCATGTTTTAATGCAACCTCATAAATTTTCGTTTACTAGTAATGTATAGAAAATGAAGTAATCAGAAAAGTTTCCTGTAATCATACTGTGACATGTTGACATATTATATATGCATATACCTGTGTATGTATGAGGGCATACATAGTATTTACCTACAAGTGAAGGAATTGTTCATTCTCTTTAGGTTTCTGCCAACCCCCCTTTCAGCTAGCTATTTTTTTTTACACTTTCAGGTTAAAGTTTTTTATTTAGGTGAAGTCTGTGCTGATACAAGGTTGAAGTAGATGAAACACGAACAAGCCAATCCTGTTTATTCTTAGTGCTTTGAATTTTAATAGCACAATGCTTGAGAAATGGTCTAGTTAATTTGGATTGCTGAGCACTTTTACAAAAAGAATGGGGACATAACAAGCAGCAGAACAACATAAAAATCAAAGGAACATCCACCAAAGAATTAGATCTAAGAAACTCATTTTGAAGAGGATCATTCAGCCTACCATTCATAACAAGAAATTCACTTCTACTGTATGGGTTTCTTGTATGGTCACAATTTTTCATCCAGGATTAGCTATTATTGTACATGTAGGCTATTACAAACAGCATATTATATACATGCCCATATATTTGAAGGGACATCATTGCATCTGAGAGTATGTGTGTGCCAACTTGCTCAGAAGAAAATGGCACCAGATTGTACTCTGATGAGTGGTGGCCATGTCAGTATTAGAATGCAGGCTGGGCAACCCATGCCAGTATTTGAATAGCCATTGATTTTATCTGTGTGAGAGAATGTATTCCCCTATTAGCAAGGCTAAGTATGTATGTCCCCATGCACTCTGACCACTTCTGTAACTGCTCCTTTTTGAATACATATTTGAACATTCAGGGATTAGCACCCATTTTTTATCTGGACATGGTTCTTTTTCTTCCTGGTTGGCAAACACACTTTGAATTGTAGTACAACCCTTAGCTGACAATTAGATAATACCTACCATTTTATCAATCATCTGGTTTTCTTTTCCTTTTCTCATGTACCTTATGACACTTTAAAGGCTTTCCCCATTATGGGATAAAGTAACAACTGAGGGATGCTCTGTATTTATTGAAATAGTTGCACCAGGAAGAACCCACTTTCAAGCATACCCTGGCCTGACATTCATTCCCAGAACCCATCATATCATTACAGTTAGCCCTATTCTTTTTTTTTTTTTGATTTATACTTACTTTATTACCTCTCCATTCTTCATGTTGAACAAGATCATAATAGTGCTTTCTTGAAAGGAATTTATATGATTCTAAAAAGTCTTTGCAAAGTCATTATTTTTTTATTTAGAGAATACTTTATTAGTTTCTGTATCATTCCTATCTAACAAAAAAAGTTTTGTTACTCTTGTGGTACCTGGCACCATTTTTTTGAAAATTAGCTTCTCAATCATCATCTGGAAGGAAATCATTCTGAGCAACATCATTAAAAACAGCTCTGATAAAGCACGGTCAATACTATGTATCATAAAGCAGGTCCACATATGAGTGAGTACATATCATATTTGTCTTTTTGTGATTGGGTTACCTTGCTCAGAATGGTTTCTTCAAGTTCCATCCATTTTCCTGCAAATTTCAAAATTCCATTGTTTTTTTTTCTGCTGAGTAGTACTCCATTGTGTAAATGTACCACAATTTCTCTATCCATTCTTCGGTTGAGGGGCATCTAGGCTGCTTCAGATTTCCAAAGTGGCTGTACAAGTTGGCAATCCCACCAGCAGTGGAGGAATGTTCCTCTTTCTCCACATCCTCTCCAGCATAAACTGTCATTGGTATTTTTGATTTTAGCCATTCTGACAGGAGTAAGATGGTATCTCAGAGTTGTTTTGATTTGCATTTCCCTGATGGCTAAGGATGTTGAACACTTTCTTATGTGTCTTTCAGCCATTTTAGATTCCTCTATTGAGAATTGTCTATTTAGTTCTGTACCCCATTTTTTAATTGGATTGTTTGGTGTTTTAGAGAATACCTTCTTGAGTTC